TTTAAGAGGGGTTGGTGATGGGAAATTTTCTTGAAGAATGATGTAAATCCATTCAACACGGGATGAACATGAGAGCCTTGTCGAACGTTTTTTAATTATGTGAAACTCAACAAAAAACTCGATACTTATCGAATAAATATAGATCTTGATTCAGGATGATCCATTTTACACTAATATTTCATTGTAGTGAGTTAATGCAACGTCGGATCATGATGTAGTTTTACGTTAAGACAAACCTATATAAATATTTTGTGTTCTTGTTTTTCTAGTTTCTCATAGTGATTTTATTGCTTTTGATGATATAGAATTACGATTTCTAATTCTCAACAGTACTATCTGTCTAATATGTCTCTTTCCAACCCCTACCCCCCACCCTACCCCACTCCATACGCTTCACTCACAAATGGCAAGTGTTTCCATCATTTAACCATTATTTAAGAAGTGATAGATTGGATCATGACTGGCATACATGTTTAGCACTTTAGAGGTCAGTTGTTCTTTTCTACAACCTTAAAAGTATGATTAGATTAAATTTCCTCTCAATGCTTTAGGAAATTAATTAGTAAAAAATCACTATTTTTGGAGTAATTAAACAAATCTAGTTGGACTTGGGCATAATTAGAGAGAGTAAGACATGTGTTCACCCAAGTTGCCATCCACATGCGAAAAGTAGTTGACATTTGGGCATAATCAGAACCAATTTTTCGATAATTAATTAATGGATATATAAAGTATTAAATATAAAAGAAATTAAACTAGGAATCGTATAAGGTGAAAATCTTATTTACAATTTCGTAGAGTAAGGAAGCCTCGTTGATTAACAATCTCAATCTTGAATTATGCATTTCAGATGTAACTTAGACTCTCGAATAATTAAATCTTAAACTCTTTCATACTTTTGAGAAGCAATATCTTTTTGTAAATTTTATTACTTATATAAAAGAAGAATATTTTTTATTTTTTGACTTAGTCAAGCAATTATTTTTTATTTTTTTCCTTCAAAAGAAGGCATTTCAATTTCAACTTTCAACTCTTGGAACGAACCTTTAAAAAAGCGCCAGAATAAATTAATCGAGTATTTTGGATTCGAAAAGAAATATTTAATAATAGTATTGACGAAAAATTCATAGACGACGTCGTATTACACAAAACCAACATAAAATTGCCTCTCTTCATTTTATTTGTCTAGCAAACATGAGAGAGAGAGAGAGAGAGAGAGAGAGAGAGAGAGAGAGATAATTCCATCCAAGTGAATAAAAAATAAAAATCAAAAAACATTTTACTGAATTTTTCTTTTCTTTTTCTTTTTATTTTTCCTTCATCCCCTGCCAAAAGGGTTTCTAGTTGTCACATGGAGGAATAGCCATTGGGGAGAAAGTTGAAATCCCAATGAAAGGGTGACCAATATGGCTTAGTTGTCAATATATTAAATAATAATTATTAAATTAAACAATAGGGTTTATCCCATACCATATTTCTCCAACTAATTTTATTGACTTAATGATTGGAGCCCACCCTCAAGTGCATATATACTTTTAATTTTGATTAGTACTAAAATAATTGCTTGATTAAGGAGATTCCATTAATCCAACCACCCCATCATCTTGTTTCATTGAAAAAAAAAAGGGTTTCCTAATGATTACTTTTTGATTAGCTAAAACATTTCATTTGATTATTTCTTGAGAGATAAGAAATTATAGAACACTTTTATCTTTCCTTGCGATCATACCCTTCAACGAATGTTTAGTACGTTGAGCTGGATGAAATTCGATCACATTAAAAAAAAAAAAAAGTTCATGTGACAAATTTGTGAACATTAACGTATCAAACGTGTCTATTAATTTTATTTTAAAAAAGTATTCATTTCTAAAAAAAAAAATTGAGTACTTTGTCAAGATTTAAAGGTTTTAAGAGATCAAAATCGTTAAAAAGGTTCGAGTGTAAAATACTATATCTTTATAAGTACCATTAATAAAGCATATAAAGCGGAAGAAAAACATTAACTATAGTGATCAAAAACGACTCGATTCCTTAACAAGTAGGGACTCAAGTTGAATAAAAGACTCCTTTAATAAAGATTAATTATATAAGAAACCATTTTAACAAAAACTAAAAAATAATATTATTTTGTGTTGACGTTAAAAATAAAAAAATAAAGCCCTTTTAAACAAATTTATTTATTTTTGCTAAGGTCACATCAATTGGTCATATTATTTCTTCAATTTTTAATCAGATTCAATGTATAATGGAGCAACAATAGCATTGCATGGCCAACTTGCTTTTTTATTTTAGATATAATAGTCATTTTCCAACTTTTATGAATTTTAAAATAAATTTCACATTCCCCATTATGATTATTAAATTATTTTTTACAAGCAATCATGTCTTATATTGAGTTACATTGAATTAGAATGTAACGCGATTATAATTTACGTGAATTTGAGTTAAATTGTATTAGTTTTGGATCTATTATGCTTAGAGTATCGAGATAAAAAGAAAAATTTTTATAGGACGAACAAAACAAAATTAAAATAAAAAATTATAGTATTTAGGATGATTGAGCTCATACAATAATGATATATAGGGCTGGAAATCAGACCCGAATCGAATTGAACTAAATTGAGCGGTTCTTCTTAAATTAAATATTCGAATGGATATTTGAATCGAGAATCGACGGGCTTGGTTCGATTCTCGACCAAGAACCAACCGAAAAATCGTATCTTCTAATTTTACCCAAATGTCTTATTCTATTGTAGTGTCATTTTTACCGTTCTATTATTGTGAACTAGCCATCTTCATTTTCCTTTGATTTTAACAGTCAAATTTATAAAGAACTTAACAAAGATATGTGCAAAAGATATTACGAGATTGCACTACGTTATTTTGTAATAGTTAAGATTGAATATATCATAATTGAACTAATGTAACGTTGTTGTAATATAAAAAAGTTAATTATTGTACGAAATCTGACAATTAAGAGAAAATTATCTGTACATAAAAGTTATTGTTTTGAAAGAAAAAAAAAGAGTTTATTGGATGCCTTAAAAAGTTAGTTTTATCAATAATTTTTTTTTAAAATTCATTTCCCAAATAAATAAGTTAAAAATTCGTTCACAAACTTTGCACCTTACACGCTCCGCCTTAATACGTCACCTCGTAAATGGCGGGGGAGCAAGTCCTCCCTTCTTCCTTTAAAAATACTCTCTTTCTTTCGCTCTCTCTCTCTCTCTCTCTCTCTCTGTTTGTGTGTGATATATATAATATAATACTGCAATTACAGCGTACGTGTTGATTGATGAATCATTTAGTACGATCAAACATATATATATATATGAAAGAAGTAATTTGTGATTGAAGAGAGTGAAATGTGCAGCAATTACATTCCATGAATCCAATTAATAAGAAAGGGAGATGAATAGTGAAATTGTGAATAAAAAAATGGTACATAAGCATTTTCTGCATCATTTTTCATCTCAAATGCACATGGGCTCTTCAGTTTCCTACTCTTTCTCTTACAGCATTTTTCTTGGTTTTTAATGTTTATTTGGTTTTTTCAATTTTTTGTTTTTTCCACTGCACATGCACTCCTCTCTCTGCACATACATTTTCTATGTTCTCAAAAAACTTGGTTATTATTTTTTTTCTTTGACTGAGTACTTCAAAGAGATTCTTTCAGATCTACAGTGAAAAGTTAGGCCACGAATGAACTTGCTCTGCCCTTTCGTTCTTCTTGAACCAGAGAGGATTATGATCAACAATTCTTGAATCATAAAACGTAAGTTTCTCCGCTCATTTGATTCTTTTTTTTTTAATGGGGTTGTGGGTATGTACCATAATTTTGTCTGCAATGTATTTGTTTCATAATTAGGATGGAAAATTGGAATTGCTCATGTTGAATTTTGGTTGATTTCGTTGCTTTCCAATTGAACTGTTCTTTGAGGTCCTATTTGAAAGTTTCTTGCCAATTTATGGATGGGGAAGTTAAATTTCTTAAAGCTACTATATTCTGACAGTATATTTAGTGAATGATATGATTATCATGGAATTCTGGTGTCTTATGTTTCATTTAAACTACTATAGCAATCAAGTCTCCTAATATTTGCTGCAAGTAATTTATTATACTCTCCTCTTTGCTTAATTTGGAGCTGGGATGAATCAGAAGGATAATTGTGATCTTGAAAATTTATGATTTGTCTTTCTTGCAATAGGTCCTAGAAGAAGAGGACGTCTTAGATATTGTTCTTCAACAATAATTTTGTCCCCCTCGTTTGAGATGAAATTTCTTAGTTTCTCTTATCTTAAAGGAGGGTGTAAGAGGTCAGATCACATGGTGCTTCGTGGGAAGATGAATGCATTGAATTTTCTTTAGTTTTTGTGTGCATTCAGGCAAATTTGTCAGTACACTGTTGGGTGCACAGCCATAATTAATAGCATTTTCACTCTCCAGAGTTTGAGTACACATCCGTGATGTACCTCGTATATTTTCTTTTGTGTTTTTTTGGTTCTATTTATTCTTTTTCTTATTTGAAATCATTTTGAGTCTTGGTGTTGGGATTGAACTTCATCTTTATTCTTTCAGCATCATCTTTGCATTGAGAAAAGATACTTCGAGGGCACTGGGCAGTATTAAAGAGGATAAAGTAGTTAACATCTTGCCTATTCTATTGTCTACTCTAGACCAGTATGCCAAACACACCCATTATGAATTTTATTGTATATTATAGCTATTTATTTCTTTACTAAACTGATAAAATAATTTAGGCACTTCAATTTAACTCTCCCTATCATTTTCTGTGCAGACTTCATTTTGTTCCTACAGCAAAAAAATCCTGCAAACGTTAAGGCATCAAAATACTCCGTAATTGGACATCAAGTCTCATATGTCAATGAATGATAGCACAGGGTGCATAAATTTGATGTTGATTAAATTGATAGTAAAACCGTGAAAAGTTGCCTGTCACAAAATCAGATTGAAGGGACTGAAAATGGTTTGTGAAATGGAGATGGATCAACAGGAAGAGATGGATATTGTCCTCTCTTCAATGTGGCCGGAAGATATAAATGAAGCCGGGAGGCAGTTCAATGTAGAAAGACCAGGAGCCAATCAAGATATGTTGGAGGAGGTTGTAATCAATGAGGAGCCTACAATAGTGGATTTTAAGAGGCTTTTAGAGCTTTCCAACTACAGTGAGAAAGGTTCTTCTCAATTGGCCTATTTGGTAAAGAATTGGGAATATAAGCAGGAAAATGCTGTACGGCTTCTAAGAGAAGAACTCGATAACCTTAGCAAGCAACAGCAAGAAGTTGAACTCAAGAAATTAGAGATATTGGAAGAACATCGTTTTGAAAAAGATGGATATGGGGGCGATAAGCGTCCAATTTCAATTTTAGATGAAAATTTAAGATACTTTTATCACGACACTCCTCGGAGAAAGAACGATGTTATCTACCAAGATGAAACGTTAGACATACATGTACAATATGACAGCACAATTTATTGGAAACAGCGAGCCATGCATTTAGAGAAGTTGTTAGCGGCAAGTCTTGAGCGAGAGCGGGTATTGCAGGGAAAATTGCATGAAAGTATAGAAAATCTTGAGAGGCAATCCTCTCCAGTGGAGGAATTATCCCAAGTTTTAAAAAGAGCAGATAATTTCTTACATTTTATCCTCCAAAATGCACCAGTTGTTATAGGCCATCAGGTAAGTTGCTCGAACGTTAATCATATATTATTCATTTCACTGTTTGGCATTTCTGCTCGAGATTTATGCAATATGGTCACTGGAGGACAATATTATCCGTTCTTCTCCTTGTATTTTTGTTCTCTATTTATTTTTTCTGGGACAAATCTTCTATAAAGTGCTTTTGTTCTTCTTCTGGATTTAGTTATCATAATTAACATCGAGATGATTATTAAATATATTTTCTGCTGTAAGGAAATGAACTGAAGACTTAATTATTTTCTTTACTTCTTTCTTTGTTCTGCCTCCAACTTTAGGCTTGTTCTTTGATAAAGTGTTCTAATATATTTCAGGATAAAGAACTGCGCTATCGCTTCATCTATAATCATTTCCCAAGTTTGCATGAAGAGGTAATTCAAAAATAATTTATTTTGATGTAGTCTGTAATTTACAAATTCATTATTGGAAACTTCAATCAGTATATCCATTTTGGTGGCCGAATTCTTGTTCTTTGTAAAGAATGGTGGCCACGTATCCATTATTTTCATGTAATTTATTTGTTTTCCAAATTCCTATTTGTGGAACCTGGCATACTAATTCCGTTAAATGATGAAATTTTCAGGATATAATAGGAAAAACAGATGTGGAGATTTTTAGTGGTTCTGGTGTGAAGGAATCTCAAGACTTCAAAAGAGAAGTTTTGGAGCGAGGATTACCAGCAAAGAGGGAAATTACGTTTGAGACAGAACTTTTTGGCTCTAAAACTTTTCTAATTTATGTGGAACCGGTGTTCAGCAAAACAGGGGAGACCATTGGAGTAAATTATATGGGAATGGAAATAACCGACCAGGTGAATTTCTGGTCCAAAGTCATTATACTCTCCTACCAAAATGGATCAATTGGATAAAATCAGAAACTTCTTTCATCATATCCTGGAAGATAACATCATTTAAAATAACCATCATGAAGAACTGCTATCATATGCTAAAGCATTGGTCTTAATGAGTTGTAATGGCTATTTATAGGTGAGGAAAAGAGAGAAAATGGCAAAACTTCGAGAGACAATGGCCGTACAAAAAGCCAAGGAGACAGAGCTCAATAAAACAATCCATATAACAGGTTCATTTAAGTAATAATGAGTTGTAATCGCTATCTATGGAAACAATCAAATAAATATGTTTGCCTATTCACAACCAATTTTCATTTCACAGAGGAAACGATGCGAGCAAAACAAATGCTAGCAACGATGTCACACGAGATAAGATCTCCCTTATCTGGAGTAGTTAGCATGGCCGATATCCTTTCAACCACTAAACTCGATAAAGAACAACGTCAGTTATTGAATGTGATGATATCTTCTGGTGATCTGGTTCTTCAACTAATAAATGACATCCTTGATCTTTCCAAGGTGGAGTCAGGTGTGATCTTGATCCTTTTTTCTAGTTTTTTTCCGGTATTCACTTGTATTCCTACTGTACTATGGGATCTTTGGCATGAACATATACAGTTACAATTAAGTGAAAGAATGAGCTTGTTTAGAGCATGTTTGGCTAAGATTGAAAAGTTTACATATAATATAAATAAACAAGTAAATTTTGAAAATAAATAAATTTTTTGATGGTCAAAACTGAAACTTCTTTTGAAACTAAGATAAGTGTATCTGTCTTAATTAAAAATAAGTGATCCAAACATGTTTGGAAACAAAAAGTTCAAAGCAACTTTTACTGGTTTTCAACATTAGTTAAACACACTCTTAATCTTTTTTTTCCATTATTTATACTTTTCTATTCAAAAATTTCAGACAAAGTTAATCTAAATCTCACAACATCAATTTTGTTTAGGAGTCATGAAATTGGAAGCCACAAAGTTTAGGCCGAGAGAGGTAGTAAAGCATGTCCTACAGACTGCAGCGGCATCACAACAGAAATTATTAACCTTAGAAGGAAATGTAGCAGATGATGTTCCCATAGAGGTGAGGGAGCTACTCACTTTATGTTGTCAGTCAATCCAAAAGTTAATGTACAACTCTGTTTATTTTGTAGCTAGATGAATATTATATTAATTGCAAAATTTCGGTTCCAGGTTATCGGAGATGTCCTAAGGATTCGGCAAATTCTCACCAACTTGATCAGGTACTTAATGGCTATGATTATATACATTCAGTTTATGCAAGTGCCTCATATATTCATGTGGTAAAGTATGTGTATTTCTATATGGAGGATAATTCAGTTGATTGAATTGAAAGGAGTTAAACTTTTTTGGGAACATTTCCTGTCTGATTGAATTTTCACAATAAATTGAATTGAAGTTTAGTTCAAGGGGTAAGAACTATGATCCTTAGTAAAAGAAAATATTGATGGTTTACTTTCAAACATATATATTCAACTCAATGTGGTAAAATATTTGGTTTGTTTTTATGATGGTAGGTGCTTTTGTTGGTTTTTAAATGGATAGGTGCTTCTGTTGGTTTTAATATGAATAGGTGCTTTTCCTTTTTCTTTCGATGAAAGTGGTTGGATGATCCGGCACTCTATGGGCAGTAGAAGGAATCAGATATATTTAATTTCATTGCTTCATTCAATTACACGTTGATTATGGCAGCGAGTGATTGGATAATGAATGCATAAGGCATAGCCTGTGTCGGGTGTGTATAAGTCATAAAAAACATCTAAGTCCTATTGAACCACCTTGTTTGAAGACTAAAAAGCTATCAGAGAGAAAGGAAAACTAAATTTACTTAAACAAAACTTAAGCATCAAAGAAAGGACAAATTTTTATTTAATCAGAATTTATTTCAACACCCCCACCCCAACCCACGTCGCCTTCACATCAATCCCGGATTTATTATATCATCAACACTCACACAATTTTCATAAATGGGTGACAGTAAGACTTGAAATCATGAACTTCATATGTTCTGATACCATGTGAAGCCAATTCATCTAAAAGCTCAAGTTCGTAAGAGAGTCAACAAATTTATTTATGTAAATTTTGTCTTCGATGCTCTACCAATAAGCCTTGAAAATTCCAATCAAGATAGTCTATCCCCTTCATTTGTTCATTACTTTTGAAAGCAGATAATTATCAAAATTACAATCAACTATCTTTATATGTCCTTTTTGACTTATTCAACTTGCTTGACTCGCTATTGTGAAAAACAATGAATTACTTGATTGAAAGGCAAATATTTGATGTCCTGCACATGAACACTTCAAACTTTTGTTTAACAGCAATGCGATCAAGTTTACTCATGAAGGCAAGGTTGGTATAAAGCTTTATGTCGTAGCAGAGCCCCCTAATGCAATCAAACAAGGATCTGATCAGACGATTTCTTCTGATCAATCAAAAGTTTTAGCCAATATGAAGAAAGAAGAGAAGTGCTTATCAGTGTCTCAGAGTATGGGTGATCAAATTGGTACTCATAGACCTAAAGATGGAGAAGATACTTGTGGAAGTGATACACATAAAAATGAACCCAGTGGCCCGGAAAGAAATGGGATACCAATGGAAGAAGACAAAGAGAGCAATCTCAATACTCAAGAAACAATAGTGTGGATATGCTGTGATGTCTATGATACAGGGATCGGAATACCTGGTACATACTCAAATTCTTTCTTTTGCTTGAACACATGCTTTGAAAAATTTTATGGCATTTTTGGCCAAGTATAAAAGGTTCACTTATATGTAAATAAGTACGCTTAACAGTAAACAAGTTTCTTATTGAGTAAGTCTAGACAGACTTAAGTTACTTATTTTGATAGTAAGGAAAATATAATTTTCGAAGCAAATAAACTTTTTATGTGAAAGTGAGAAAAAAGTAACTTATTAGAACATATCTGAATATAATTAGTACTAGTAATTTTTACTTTTTTTTCTAAGATCAGTGAAGCATGGTTTTAGTGCAAATAACATTTAGTGCAATTATTTTTGTTTGATCTGTAATTGATGGATGTCTATATTAGTAATGGATATTAAATTTCTCAATCTTGGTGCAACAGAAAATGCTATACCCACTTTGTTTAAGAAGTACATGCAAGTTGGTGTGGATACTGCTCGGAAGTATGGTGGGACTGGACTGGGCCTAGCAATTTGTAAACAACTGGTACTCTACAATGCCCTTCTGCTGCACTTTTTGTCACAATTTACTTGATGTTGCATAAAGTATTGGAAGTAGAATTATGAAGGCAATTTTACTTCAATTAATGTTCATTCCGAGTTGTTTATTTTATTTTGTGAGTATATATGTTTGTGCTTGATTATGTCAATGAGTTGATGTAGTCTTATTTATTAGTGTTTTCTGAAGCTTTTGGCAAGTATTCTCTCAAACAGTAAATTTTTGTTGCATGTATGAACAGGTTGAACTCATGGGTGGACATCTTACTGTATCCAGCAAAGAACACTGCGGGTCGACTTTTACGTTTGTCCTACCTTATAAGGTTTCGCCAGTGTGTGATAGTTCAGATGATCTCGATGAAATGTCCGATATGGCCAACCATGATGTCCCGGACGATGCAAATGACGAAGATTTACATTCTGGCATTTTCTTGTTCCCACCGCGAACATTGGGTTCTTTATTTTCTTCTCTAGTCCCCGGACGGACCCAAAAATTCTCACAACCCAGTTATGGATCTAATGCATTGTCAGCAGCCGAAACTTCACTGAGGCATAGCTCGGATTCTGACATCCTTAGTACAACTGCAAAACACGAACAGTATCCTGGTAGAAGATATGATCATTTCAATCCATATACTCAATCCACCAATTCCTTTACCGGTGAAACTTCAGATTCAATTGGTTCTCAAGAAGTAACATGTAATACGCAGACTCAGTCCAATGGAAGTTCCGAGTGTTCTTCAAAGAACCCTCCAGAAATCCCAAAACCCGAGTTGAAGGCTAAGATCCTTCTTGTAGAAGACAACAAGATTAATGTTATGGTAACTAAGTCAATGATGAAGCAATTGGGACACAGCATAGATGTTGTGAATAACGGAGCAGAAGCTGTTCATGCAGTTCAACGCAACAGCTATGATCTCATTCTAATGGTACGTACTGTAAAATCAGAACATACGTAAAATGTAGTTCCATACTAATGGCAATGGTGACTTCCCCGACCCCCTAAAGTTTGTACATTCTCTTGTATAATTCATGCTCAGAGGCATAAATATTCGATTATATGTTCTGTATTTTTTAACATTCATTTTTATGACTATATTCAATTATAAATGGGGAATATTTACAGGATGTATGCATGCCAATAATGAATGGTCTTCAAGCTACAAAACTGATTCGATCCTTTGAGGAAACTGGTAGTTGGAATGATGCAGTGAAGGCTGGAATCGAGCTTGGATTGCCTCCTGCAGATTCTACACCAAATTCACGAGAACTCACAAATTATAGAAAGAGGATTCCTATCATAGCGGTAAGCTCTCGACTTTCATCTGTTAAACTGGTGGCATTTTTTATTTGTTTTCCAATTATGATTACTGCTCTAGAAATCTGGCGTGATGTGTAGTTGTTTCACTCACTGATAAATTAACTGATGCATTTGCAGATGACGGCAAATGCATTATCAGAAAGTGCTGACGAGTGTTTTGCAAATGGAATGGACTCTTTCGTGTCAAAGCCTGTGACTTTTCAAAATTTAAAACAATGTCTGAATCAATATTTTTCGTAATATCGTCTGCAAATGTTTGTCTTGTACAGAAAATTAATGCATTAGGAAAGTTTTGCGACCAATGTATAATGTTTTATCCAGTCTTTATAAAGGGTGCTTCTGTTTAACATCTTTATATGAGTATCTTCTTGCCATGCATCATTCACTTGAGCTCTTTCCCTGTTTGCTCTAAGAGTATGTTTGGGTAAACCTTAAAAAAAAGGAGTAACAGTAATTAAAAGAAAGTAATAAAAGACTTGCATTTTAAAAAATAAATTTTTTTAACGAATAGTTACCCCTTTCGGCGACTACATTTTCGAAAAAAGTAACTTCTAAGCTACAAATGTTTGGCTATGCTTAAAAGTTGATTTGAAGTAATTTTACTTCTTTTAAGCTGAACCAATCGTGCTCTTGCAATATATTCTCTCTTTTTCGGAGATTTCTTTTCCATGTCATTTTTTGTGACAAAGGAGTTCTTCCGTGCTTTAGAAATTTCACAGGAAAACACAGGTCTGGTCAATCCTTTAATTTGAATTATGTCCTGAATCTATAGCTTTATTAACAAAATTGATACTATTTATTAACAAAATTGATACTATATATATAAAACCAAGCATTTTGGACTTGCAAGCTTCTCAAAGTTCGAGAACATGATGGTATGGTTTTGCAACCTTCTCAAAGTATTTTTATGGCTTTTTCTTCCCAATCTTGCTGAATGTGACGCTATTTTTGAAGGCGGCGTTTTGATAAGGCTCACTCTGGTAACAGGGGCGGATGTAGGGGATGGCCCCCGGGGGGGGTGTTACGTGACCCCCCCAACTTTGCTCCTCCTTTTTTTCTTTCACCATTAAATTTTTTATGTTTTTGTTTGAATTTTCGAAGTCATTATGGGATGTGAAACGAAATCGAAATATTGCATTCTTAATACCAATTAAAGTGTTCACGGTCTACTTTTCTACGTCATTAATGGCATATGAAACGATCAATCGTAGCAAATGTTACGATTTGTCAAATTAGGCCTGTCAAAGTAATATTTCGAAAATTTCGATAACATGCTAACTTTAAAAATTCTTCAATGATCGTACGCTAATCGAATCTACAAATTGCTTATGTCATCTCAAAGTTTATTTCGAGAATTAAATTATAGGCATATGGAATAGTCCAAATAGATAATTAAAAATGCGTTACATGTGAATTTTAAAGAAAAGCGTCTAACTCGCATTTTATTTAAAAAAATTCAATTATTTCATCAATATTTATTATTTTTGCAATACAAATTTCTCAACGTAATTTTCATCATTTTTTTAGAAAATTTTATATGGAATATGACATAATTTTTTTTCGAAAT